CTTATAAAAATTGGATCAGATGGGGACAGATTATTTATCATACTTGAATCTGTTTGACAACCGTAACATTATCAATTTTAAAGTAAGGATTAAAATAGTTCATCATCTGCGTGAGGTTAAAATTAAAATGTATTTGAGATTGATTTTTTTTGGGTATATTTTTTACTTTTTCTTTTGTCCCATATTTGAAATTTAGTGTTAGATGATTTTTTGTTGTTGTTATTGAATAATCCTATTTAAACATTCAGTCATTTCAAACCCATAGTTGACATTCTATATTTTTTATTCTATTTCTCTTTATATCACATCATATACAAATTAATCTATCACTTTTCTTCTTCTTCTCTTTTTAGGTGTAATTTAGCATTTTGGGAAGTCCATTTTTTTTTCCTTTTTCATTTTAGTTCTTCCCATAATCTGTTGGTCAGGGACAAGGTTTTGTAATGTGAGTTTCCTCCATTTCACCGTCACCATTATGTTCTAGACTGGAGATAGAATATGTTGGGTCCACAATCATACCATTTCCATAACTTTATTTTCTAAAATGTGTCTGCAAAATGCTATAAATTCCTACTGCGTCTAAGGACTAATTTACAATCTTGAAAATATATAATTAATATCTCCATTCGCATAGAGATTATTGATCCAAATAGATCACGTGGAACGCGTTCCATGTTATCTAGACAAAGTCATGTGCACTTTTTTCATCATGTATAGGAGGAATATATCAATATCGTACTCAAATGCTGACTGATTTTGGGTAGGGATGGCAAAACGGGCCAGCCCGGCCTGTTTTGGCCCGGCCCGTCATTGGCCTGCCAAAGCACGCATATGAAATTAAAAATGCATACATATTGTACATAATATATGTTCAACAAAAACAAATTACAAACTTAAAACAAAATCAAATAGAAATTAGTCCATTTACACCAAAATCAAAACCAAATTATAAACTTACAAATTATTTATAAACTAAATTTTTTGATAGTCCACAAAACAAGTTTAAATACAATTAATTAACTTTAAATTTTTATTTTAAGAATATTAGAAGCTCTCTTGAAAGAAGTTGTCTCTACTTTTTTTCTTAATCATCTTCATCCTCATCTTCTACATCAAAATAAAATAAACATAAAAATAATTAAATTAAAAAAATATATATGCGGGCCGGCGAGTTGTGGCAGGCCGGCCCGTTATTTAGCCCGACGAGTTGGCGGGCCTATGGGCCGGCCCGCAGGCCATGGCCCACTTTGCCATCCCTAATTTTGGGTTATATATTACCTATATTTTCAAAATCGAAGAATTAAAGACAGTTTTAAATAATAACTATTTATCAACTCATACTTCTACTTTTTAAAATTGGCTACATTTTTCACGAGTTAGTAAATTTCGTGTAATATCTATTTAACAAAAAGACTCGCATAATACTAATAGTAGTTTTTTTTTTTTTTTTAATGTAGATTACATGAATATCCACTAGAAATAATCATATATGAATTGGGTATGGTTATCATTGACAATAAAATTTTCTTTTTAATATTTAACACAATAATATACATAGAAAATTTGTATAATATTAACTATTTTTTTCTGTGATAGAATTTATATTTGTTTGTATTTTTAGTCTTTTAAATTTAGATTACATAACTACATTTATTTTTTGAGAGCAATGTTCAATTACTTTACACTAGCATTCATTGATAAATTATCATATAAAATAAGTGTGTTACTTTTATTTTAAATAACAAAATTATATCATTGTAATTTTTATAACTATTTCATTGTTCAATATCTTTTAATTCAATAATGTTTTAACAAAATCAACCATTAAATTGAATCTCCATTTCAATTAGATTATATATACAAAAATTTATATTGATAAAAAATTATTAAATACCTCATTTTTATTGATCAAAAAACGACATAATATGATCATTAGAGTTAATTTAGCGGTTGAAGAGAAAGGGTTGGTTAGAAACAAAAGAATTTAAGTTTGATCTTCATCACATCTTTAATATACAGTTTTAAAAATACTAAAATATGAATAATTTAATTACCTTTTTATTATTGTTCAATTTTAATAAAATTTGACATACAAATTCAAAAAATTAATAAACCATTAAACTATGTTGACGGTAATACGTAATAACTTTATTTGTAATCTTTTAATTTAAATAATTTATTTTGATTTAAAGGTTGTTATTAATTATTTTCATATTCTTGTACTAACAAATATTTTCACTTGTAGGTGAGAGAAAGGTGAGAGAATGATCTATTTACTCGAAAAGTAAGTCTTGATTCAATAACTCATATTTTATATTAAATTTTCACATTTAATCATTAAATTAAAAAAATTTAATATATAAATTAAATTTAAAATTTTTAACAAATTTAAAAATTATTTAATACTTCGTTCTATTAATTTAAATTAATAGATAATTATAAAAATATTTTATATGATAGTTTTAATTTAAAACTTTTAACGAAGTATCATATCATAATCAGTCCAATCATGTCAATTTTCGGACCAGGATTTCGAACTACTGGATGGTGTAATCATAATTCCAAGCTTTCAATTATTTTTATTTTACATGTTTCTTCAATTTTTAATTATAAATATAAAAAGCGGCTGCAGGAATCCAAAGTCCAAATTTTCTCATAACATATATAATAAAGTCGTAAAAAATCACATGGCCATTCCACAAACTGGCCAGAGACTCAGACACGCAATTAAAGGAAATGGGAACTGGCAAGTGGCAACCTCACCCTATGCAATTCAAAGACTTTGACAAATGATATGAAAACTGAAAATAATAACATTGCTGATAAATAAATAAAAATCTTAAAAAATGAGATGAAAATTGTTTTGTTAACACAAGCAGATAATTTTTAGTACCTAAAACAACTAATTTCAATTGGAAATGGCATTTATTATAATTTTTAATTTCTTAAAATTAATCATATACCCTATAGTCTGGTGTTAACGTTTTTCTATTTTTTTTTTTTATTTTTGTACTATAGCACCATCCCTTAACTCTTCATAATTATCTCTCTAATTGATTAATGAGGATGTGTATTGTGTGTTCATAAGCACATAATAATGTGAATATATTAAATGTACGTACTATATTATGTTTTAAACTTCATATAATGTCCTTATTCGTGAGAACATAAAAAAAAAAAAAAAAATATATATATATATATATATAAAACCATTATTCAAAAGTCATATCAAAATATTATTTTAAAATTGTAAAAATAGAAATATTTTAAAATTTTAAATTATTTTTGTTGAGTTTTTCCAATCCAAACCAGCATATTATTAAACTGGGTTTTATTTGGTTTGTATTTGATAAAAGAAATTCATATAAAGTAGTTCCAATAGGTTAGATAAAATCTGAGTTGAACCAAGTGAACAACACCCTTAAACTATTGAAACGTCTAATTTAACAAGGATTAAAATGTTTTTTTTTTCTTATAATTTTACTTATATTACATTTTAATCTTTATAATTAAAATATATTTTTAATTTATATATTTATATTTTTAATTTTTTAGTCTCTTTAATTTAAAATAGATTTTTTAATCCTTATATTTATGGTTTTTTTTTTTTAGTTTCTATCATTATTTTTTTTTACTATATATAGTTGTTTTTTTTTAAAAAAAAAATGATAATAGTAACTCAATTATCTAGTCGGAGGATATCATCGATCTGTGCAAAGCGCAAACCAATATATATAATCATTTTAGAGATATTACTCGTTTACACGGATATTTTTGTCAAGCCGTCAAGGAAGAAAACTATACGTTATGCTGATTATACAAAACCATTTCTTTTTTGGAAGATTTTTCTGAAGTAATAATACACAGTAAATATCCGCATTTTATTTAATTTAAAGAGTATCTTTACCTTAATCGATTGAAATTTAAAATTAGTTAGATTAAATATATTTTCTATTATTTGTCTTAAAGACATGTTCACATGATTTACAATAATATTGTGCACTTTTTATTTTCCTTTTGAGTTATAAGGTAGTGCAAAAGTTTAAAGAGAGTGACATAAGGAGTCCAACGATAAGTTAGTTGAGTTAATTTTTTTTTCAAAATTAACTAACATAATATACCTTTTTTTTAATTATAGTATAAATATAAAGTATTTATTACTCAAAATAATAACTAATCTTTATTAAAAATCATAAATATATATAAAATGAATATTTTTCTTGTAGTATAATCTATTTCATATCCATTATAAAATATTAAAATCTAAACATTATTATGAAAAGATACAAATTATTATCACTTTTTAATCCAAAGTTGATACTAAAATAACATATTAATTATTAATATTTCACTATTAAAAGTTCGTTCATTTTTCTGGAACCACGCTGACACCCCCAAACATTCTATATCATGGAAAAAAATTGTTAAGCAAATTATATTTAATTAGAATAATCGTAAGCGATCTATACTAACTAGCTGAACAAATAACTGTGATCAGTTAACACAAGTCTCCAGTCATGTCAAGCGAAGGATTATTAATTGTTGTTCATGTTTAGAATACTCCGGGCATCCATTTCATGAAAAAGAAAAGAAAAACTATGATTAGTAAAGTGATGACGTGCCCAGCACATGTAAAGGCTCTTTATTGTACGTAGTTATGATCATCTTTTCTTTTGCTTTGTTCGGACATGATGTAAGCATTTTTTCAAAAGACAGCCTAGTCCAGTCATATTCATCATCATATCGCTTTAGACCAATAAGAGTTGTATTCCATCACTGAGTTAAGAATTGGGGACACCAAACACAGGGGAATGCTAGCCTCATAACAGGTCAAAGGCTCATCAATCATGACTTTGGTTGGTCGTTTTGGTCTTAATTAAGTTAAATAAGCATTTGTGAGAAGTAATTAAAATGGGAAATTTTGTGGTAAGCAACCCACTAGAAAGTGATTGAGAAATAAATTGAAGTAGTTTGCATGAAGTTAAATTAAAACTTGGTTGCTGTCCCTCTCCCTGATAGAGGCAAAATCTTGTAACTTGTTGATGAAAAATGAGAAATAAAGAGGTAACATGATATACAAATGTGTACTAGTTGGAGAAGTTTTGGGTGTGTTAAGTTTCTCCTTCACGTGGGTTGATGCCATCCTATCACAAGTCCCATTTTTGTTTTGCATGATTGCATCGTGCTCACAAACAACCACATGGACAATCTATAATAATTGAGCGCGGTAAAATTCGAAATTTCTCTACAATTCAATTTGCATTAATGATTACTCCCCAGCCAAAGCCAACAGCATGCATGAAACAAAAAATACATAATAATTTACAAATAAAAATGAAAAATGAAAAAGTGGAGAAGTTGAAAAGCATTAGCCTGAAGCCTGAAGCCTGAAGCCTGAACTGAACTAAACTCCGATTCGAACTCGGGACGACGGGGTGGACCACTTAGTCACCTCTTTGCCATCTCCTAAGCATTCCACGGATCAAGTGTTAAAGAAAAAAGAAATATATGTTTAGTTTTGGTTGTTCAGTGGAGTAGTGGTCGAGACTCGAGACAGAAGTCGAGGTTGTTTCGGAGGGTGAGGTGGCAGTCGTCGAAGCGGTTGGATTCGGAGCGTGAAATGAAGCGGATGAGTTGTTGGAAGTGTGATTCGTCGCAGGGGATTGTGAGAGGACCATGGTTGCCGAACCCGTACTCTTCCTCTGCCTGAAGGAGTAAGTTCTTGAAGACGGGGTGGTTCAGGTGCGTGGCGCGCACCACAAATCTCGTGGAGCTGCTGCCCACGCACACCGCCACGTGTCCCGCCGGAACATCCGACGGTATCCGGGGGGCCGACTTGCGGGCGCTGGCCTTGCTCCGCCACCGCCGCAGCATTTGGCGGAGCCTCACGATGTGCCGGATTCTGCTGCATTTTCCGACTGCCCCTGACATTGACGATATATCTTCGCACTTTAATGTTGAGTCTGACAAGTGTGAGAAGGAGTGGGAGGGATTGCCAAAGACCTTCCTCTTCTTCTTTTATAATGCCATGCTTCACAACCTGCCCTTCCTCTTCCTCTTAATTACCAACAACTCTTTATCTTTTTCCCAATTTTTTTACTAAAATAATTTTTTTTTAAAAAAATTTACCAAAAAAACATATGTACCACTTTATTTACCCAAATAGAACCTTTTACTGTTCACGTTCAGAATTCGATTCTCTGAGCTATTAATTTTTTTTAATATTTTTTTTTGCATTTTTGGACCTGAGAATGGTGTAAAACTGGAATCGGAACGACCCGTTCTAAATGGAGAACGGACCGTTCTTCTTGCAGAACGACCCGTTCTGAAAGGAGAACGACTCGTTCTCCATTCAGAACGGGCCGTTCTGGATGCAAAAATACACACATGATGAACGCATCAAAACGGGCCGTTCTGATTGGACGTTTCAGTTTCAAAAATAACAGATTATTCGTGCAAGCAGAACGGCCCGTTCTGCTTGGAGAACGGGCCATTCCGATTGCAACATTTACTCACAACCCGAACTACAAACAGAAAAGAAAAAAAAAATTTAAACACTTCTCACAATTCGGTTCCCCGGGAACCGAATTCTGAGCTTAAAAAAAAATTGAAGTTCAGAATTCGGTTCTCCGGGAACCGAATTCTGAACATGAACAATAAAAAGGTTCTATTTAGGTAAATAAGGTGGTACAGATGCTTTTTTGGTAAATTTTTTTAAAAAAATATTATTTTAGTAAAAAATTCTTTTTCCACCATACTCCAGGCAACTCATTTTATCACCAAAAGTAATCTATGTCAGACACCTAAATCTTTAACAAACTTTTCCTTTTAATATAAGAGAAAAAAAAATAAAGTCATGTAAAAAAGTTTTTTTTTTTTTTTTTGCATAATAAAGGAGAATATAATTCTTTCTCATTCAATTTTTTTGCTCCATTATATAATGGTAAACTTAGGTTTTGAATTCGTTTGAAAAATCAGCTTAATTAAGATGTTTTTTTTATTAGGTTGTTATTATATAAGAGTTTATATATGTTATAAGTATTTAATAAATAAATTATTTGTGTTTGGATGCAATGTTACGTAAGTATTTATAAGATGTTGTGTGATTTAAAATAAGTTAAAAATCAAATCATGACTAAAAGTAAGTTAAATTTTAAAACTAACTATGGAGATAATGGAAGTGGTGATCTATTTCAAAATGGAACAACTTGCATTTACGTAACTGACAATGAAAAACGGCTTCATTTGCTCTTTATTTGGATAAAATGAGTTGATTCTATTTTTCTCTTAGCTATAACTACTTATTTTTAATATTTTGTTTAACCACGTGAGGTAATTGGGGTGTTTATTTAATTGTTTTATGCGGAATAATGAACAATGGAAGGCGTGTTTGGGCATTCAAAAACAACTTAAAAGAGAACTACTTCATAAGTCATAACTCATGGTGTCAAAAAAAAAGTCATAACTCATCACAATTCACAAGTGAGAATTACTTCATATATAAGCCATAGCAATTGAAACGTCAACGCTGATATTATGTTTGTTTTGTTTTTAAAATATATTTGGTCTCCCTATGACTCATAACATGTGGAGAATCGAGATGCCTGTAAATATAAGTTCAACTCAAAAGACATAAAAATATATTATTCTCTTAACGTACGTTAAACATCTAGCAAACGAGTTTCTAAACAAAGGCTGGGTTTTGCTTCAAGATTTACTTTTGACGCACATTTTTTCATTGATCCCATGGATTTGATAATTTAAATTAAATTAATTATTGAACATATTATTTAATTCATTTCAAATTTAAACTAAGTCAATCACAATTAATTTGATTTTAAATTTATTTTTGTGACTCAAAAAGTTAATTTGATTACTTAGGTTTTTTTTTTTTTTTTTTACTTTTAAATTTATACATGTTAGAATTTAGTATTTAGATTTTTCCTCTGATTATTTCTTCTACTCATTTATATCTTGAATTTTTTGTCCAGAATTATTAAAAAAAAATCTTTAGTAACTAAACTTTTTTTAATTAATTTAAGAATTATCTTAAAGTATTTAAGAAAATTTTAAAATTTATAGCAACATTGATTTTTATTTTTTTTATGTAATAAATAATATGAGAACGAAATTGGTTTGAATTAGTTTAACTTCGAATCAAATTAATTTATCTCATCATTATTGTTAGATTGTTAGCATGCTTACTTTTACAAATTTACCCAAACCATGAATTCGCAAGTTACAATATATTGAGCGCCCTCGCTTTCTAGTTTCTTCTTTGGATAATAAAATTAGAAATAGTGTGAGTCATGAAGCAGAAGAGAAATCCCTTATAAGTTATTCAACAAATTCATATATTCTGTTTTAGGACAAAGAGATAAACAGGGGGGGAAAGTGAAAGAAATTTAAGAAACGATTAATCTTACAGGAAAGGAAGAAATACCAACAAAAAAAAAACATGTAAAACGTGTAAGTAAAAGTATTATATAAATAGTAAAATTTAATTTTAATACTCTGTTACTATTAATTTTTTTTATATCATTAATAAATTAAAAATCATTTATGTATAATTTAAAAAGTAATTATTATAAAAATTAATAATTTTATTACATAATAATATTGTTGGTGTCACTTAGAAATCTTTTATAAGCATTAGAAGTTTATGGTTATTTCTATTTTGATAATAGAGAAGTAACAAGTTACATGTTGAACATTTAAAAAATCAAGAAGAAGAAAGTATTGAAGATGATTTGGACTATTCTACTAATCAAACATGTTACACGAAGAGAGTTTGTTTGACAAAGATCAAGTGTAGAATGTAGATGTCTAAGGTTAGATGAAGAAAACTCTAAGTGAAGAAGTGCTCAACGTTAAAGACCTCGAGTAATTTGACGAAAAAAGTATGTGAAGAAATTACTTGTCATTCTGATAATATATTAGTTCCAAGCAATTATCGACCACAAACAAGTCAAAACAAATGTCAACATTTTGGATAATTAATCCTAAGTAGTTTTACACGGTAAAAATATTGTTTTTCGACCGATAGAAATAAAAATCTATAAATAGAAATTAAGGTATGGTATTCTTCTTCAGTTTAAACACCCAAAAATGAACTCTTAACACTTATTACGTGGACTAAGCATGACTCCTGATTCATAGAATAATGTACTTGTCTTCATCCAACTTACATGAAATATTTTACATCATTGTCAATTATCATTGTCTTTCAACTAATCGCTTAGGATTTATGGTATGTTTGAGTAAATTGCTTTAAAAATATTTTTAGAAGAAAAAAAACATTTATGTTGGATTACATCCTTTTGTCCATTTTTTTCAATTTAATTTTTGTTGTCCTAGATCTAGAGCACCGAACATTAAAAATTAATTTTCTAACGTAAATGGCAGTAATATTTTAAAAAATTTATCCAAAGTAATCGCTGAAGCTCTCGGGATATAACACACACTTTTCAACAATAGAATTATAACATAAAATAATAAGGTTTTATAGTGTTTTTGCTTATAAATAACAAGACTTTTTATTCTATTTATATGTTATATATTTATTTACTTATTATCTCGATTTAAAATTTACGTTACATTTTTATTTTGTTTAAGACATTCAATAATCTTCATTGTTTATGTTGAATCAATATTTTAAATTATCTCAATGCTTTAGTTTACAAGTCTTTATACTTGTTAAGACTAATAAAGATAATATTATTGTTTGATTCAGAAAATCAAACTCAAAATAAAATTCATTAAGTAGAGTATTGACTTAAAACTTTAACTTATTTCATATATTCGTCATGTAAAGATGACATAACTGATTATATTCTTTTTGTTCTTATTAGCTAGCACTAGAGATTAAATTCAATTTTAAATGTATTTTATATCTTTTCATATATATTTATGTTAAAGATGAGATAGATAATATGTAATTTTATTAAAAAATTTCAAGAATATTAATAGTTGATTCTAATTTTATATGTAATCGTATTTTATTCTAATTTAAACTTTGCTATTACCTAATCTCATTTATTCATGTTGTATAAAACAAATTGATTTTAATTCCAAGTCTCACAAATTAATGAAAGTATTATTTGTTGGTTAAAGTTAGGATAGAGACATCCATTAGACAACCAATAATCAAGAACACTTTGATTCTTGAAATAGATTTCCACCATCAACAATATATAGTTAAATGATCTTATAAAACATCTTTTTACTATCCATGTATTACAATCAAATATCTCAAGGTGAAATAAAATAGAAAGACAACAAAAAAGGGGTAAATTGCATGGAAAGCTGATATCACACTGTCGATCACATGCCTAACAAAGAGATAGCAATTTTAGTAATTCCCCTAAAAAAAGATAAACTTGGTAAATGAAAACAAACAGTATTCAATCTTTACACCTCCAACACGATATATTAAAATTGCAAAGAGGTTCCCATCCACATAGAGTAGGGA